TCACTCCTTAATAGTGTTTATAGTCTTTTTCTTTACACACAAACACATACATAAAAAACACCAAATTATATAATAATCAATCTTTTGTTAACAAAACTTTTAATCACTTAGATTTTCTGCTAAAATAAATCATTTTTTTTCAAATTAACAAATAATGACAATTTTAAAGCTAATTGTAAGAAACATTTTACTGATTGTGTTACACATTTGCCAACTTTGTGACCAACAAAATATGTTTACAACTCATGTAAAATTCTGTTCAAAAAAATATTTTAATAAATAACAGGTTTGTTTGTTTGACATTAAAAACAAGAAATATATATATAATATAAAGGGAAAAATGTGGAATTTTCTCACATTTTTTTATACATAAAATGCATTTTATCTCTAATTTAATTTCATTACTAATTGATAAAAACTAATTATAACAACTTAAATAATATTGTAAACTTAAATATTGTATAATTTAAAGGTTTGTAAACTTTACTTGTTTAACATATTCTATCATTTACATAATTTTGTAAAAAATTTTATAATAAATATTTTATAAAATAAACGTTGTTTTTTATTAAAATAAATATTTGCTTCAATGATGGAAATCTAATAATACTTTTAAAATATTTAATCCTCAAAAATATTAGAAATTATCAATTGAGGACTACAGGTATTGAATGGTAATGAAAATTAGATTCACTTTATGTAACCTTTCAAGCCTTCATTTCATATAACATTCCTCTCTCACACAGATCTTCCAATATCTCTCTCTCTCTCTCTCTCTCTCTCTCTCTCTCTCTCTCTCTTTATTTATTTATTTGGATAAAAATCCGGTTATTAGTTGTTTAAAATTTCGATTTTTATATACGAAAGGCAATCACTATTATACAAAAAATAAATTTTTAATAAAAAATATATGTTTATAAAATCACTTTTTTACTTAAAATAAAAATTTTATAAACAGTCAATCAAAGTTACAATAAAATTTTTAGTGACAAATGGAAATATTATTACAAATATTAATGCTATAAAAACATATGATCTAATGTAAGAATAGGAGCTATAGTTTGTAAATCATAACAAAAAATTTAGTTTTTTACAATCAAATATTTCTATAAAATAACAATAATGTTAACCCTCTTTAAATTAATATAAAAACCCCTCATTGCCTCCTTTATAACACTACAACTCTAAACCAATTATGAAAATTGAAAACCCAAACAACCCTATTATAAGACCAACAAATTCCATAAATATTTCTTTCTTTAAATTCATATAATTTTGTTGTGTTCTGAATCAAAATCTTAACAAACATTTAGCGTTATATACTTATTATGTGTTTTATCAAAATATTAAATAATAATAATAATAATTTTATATGTCTTTTCTAGAGATTCTCAAAAGAGTGAGTGAAAGAAATAAAGAAATTGAAAGAGAGAGAGAGAGAGAGAGAGAGAGAGAGAGAGAGAGAGAGAGAGAGAGAGAAAAGTGAAAAACCAGTTCAATATCTTACAGTAATCTTACAAAATTGAAATATAAAAATACATAAAATAGTAATTGAGTTGTTATTGAATAATAATTTTTATTCTTATAAATAATTTTTATTTATATCCATAAGCAAAATGGTTAGGCAATGATTATATGAGAGAATTAAATATAAAAAATTTTTAGATCATTCATGTAAAACATGTATTGAAAAATAAAACATTTTTAGATATAAAATATTGGATTAAATTCAATGGCAAAAAATATAAATAAAACAACAAACAATAATACAAACAAAATAATTATTTGGTCAAATAAACAATGCTTCACAACAGTTTAGTTAAACTTAACAAAAATACTTGATAAATGTATATAAAAATAATTATATATTGTTTAATTTTATATTGAATATATATCGTTTATACGGTATTATATTTTATACAGTATCTACTGTTACTATATTTACTCAATTAATAGCCAAAACAAAAAATCAAAAATTATCTTCCTGCTATTAAAAAATAGTTAAATAAAATACATTGCTTTTTAAATTTATATACATTTATATTATTAAAATCAGTTTCGGTTTGCTCTATATTTATATACAATTTATGTGTTATGTACTATTTTATCTTTCTATTATAGATATACAGTATATTAACGAAAATTATTATTTTTTAATTATTTTATATATATACACATTTTTCTCAAAATTGAAATTTTAATATTTCAAATATAAAATATACTGTATTTTTGTGTAACAAATTTATATTAAAGCAAAATCATCGTAAAAAATTATATATGAATGAAGTTTATAAAACCAATGAACCAAAACCTACCATTTCTAGTGCAATGATAACACTTTACATAAAATTCACTTTAAAGATATTGCACTTTAACAACAAATAGCTTATATGATATTTTTTAAATAAAAAAAAAGAAAAATATAAAACTTTTAAGGTTTACTATCAAAATCATTGGTTATTTAATGTTATCGTTGATTTCTACATTGACTAACATTTATTTGAAATATTCAATAAAAAAAATTGAAAGTAATTTTCACTATAATTTTTTAAGGTATCATTAAATACATAATTGTTATTACAATATTATTATTATGTATTGGAACAATGGTTACATCATTATAATTAATTTTTTTTTTAAATTAAGACAAAATATTTGTGCTGTAAAACACATACAAATATTATATCAAATAATAATAATGAAATTTTATAGTTGATTATAATAATATTTGTATTTATAATTTTAATTGTTTATAATGATAATAAAAATTATTTTATACTTTCAAATCTAAACTGTAATATATATATTCAATAAATGAAGATATAAATACTAAGTATGAAATACACATAAATAAATTTATATGAAATACTGTATACAGCAGTGATCAAAATTAAACTTTATAAAACTAAATTGTACAAATAACCTAGTACATATTAAATGAGTAAGTGAAAAATGAGATATTAAACTTACTCATTGTTTGTTATAAATTATGAAAATTACTATTAAATATCTGTTAAATTAGTTATGTTATATATGTATCACAAATAGAGATGGGCAAATAGAAAGTTTCTAATAAATTTCCGTGAGAAAGTTTCTAGAAAGTTTCTCATGAATAAATTTCTATAGAAATTTAACTTTATTGTTATACTATGGGATCCCCATATCTATAGTTATTGGAAATACTATAAATATATTAATGAGACATAATATTGTACATGTTAATATTATACAAATGGGATACTTATATAAATAAGTATAATTATCCAATAATAATCAGTTTTGTAAAATTTTATTCATCATTTTATTATATTATAGTTAAATATAATTAAATAAATTAATTTTTACCTTAATTAATAATTAAAATACTAATAATAATATTTAATTATTACTTTTAATAAAAATGTTACAAGATAAAAAATATTGAAATAACATAATTAACATGGGGATCCCATAGATAGAAATTTCTTTTAGAAACTTTCTAGAAATTTCTTTTAGAAACTTTCTAGAAATTTCTCTATTATTTTTTAAATTTCTCTTTTTTGCCAACACTAATCACAAAGTTATCATGATAACACTTAATTTTTATCACTGGTATACAGTATTACAGTATATCAATGTTTTCAAAATTAATAATTTCTCCTCATATAAAAATAGTTATTTATCCTTAATATTTATCTCATTTCATTAGAATTATTCAAATCATTTTAATTAATTAAATATTTATAATTAAAACATATTCTTATAAATTATAAATTACATGAAAAGCTTTCATAAAAAACATAAAAAATGTATTATATTAATAATATTTATCTTTTCATTTTTATGACTTAAATTTATATTCAATAAATATAATAAACAAAATCAATAAAATATAATGTTTATTGTGCATAAAAAACAAATCGTGTTACTATATTATTGTGAAATTGTTTTTTGTCTAAACGTGTTTGATATCAATATGTAAATTATTAAACACATTCATATGAATTAATGTAAAAAACCATTTTTAATTTACAATTTTATTTTATTTTCGCTAAATGTTTAAAGTATGTGAAATATTTAAAAAATAGTTTAAATAAGTGTAATTGTTATAATTATTAATTTATTTAATAATAGTTAATTATCATTAATTAAATTATATCATAATGGCGGTATTGTAATAATTTTTAATTAATTTTTAATAAATTTTAACATACTGTACATTATATACTGTACAATAAAGCTTTATTTTCATTACTATTATTCTATAATAACTAGGGTTTCCATTTGAAGTCGGAGAATAAGCACATATTAAATATATAAGAATCATATTAAATCATATAAAAATAAGTGATTACACAAATAATATTGTTGTTAACTTTTATCAATTTTTAGTTAACTGCTTAACTTAGTTAGTTTAGTTAAATGCTTAATTTTTGACTAAAATCTTTTAATTTAACAGTTTTGTGATAAAAATGAAAAATTAGTTATAAATAAAATTAGTTAAGCAATTATCAAAAAAAAATAAATAAAGAGAAATAAGCCAAAGTTCAGACAAATAATAACTACAAAAACATTTAACGTTTTATGATTTGTCATAAAACAAATAATTTTTTCTTACAGTTTCTGACAATAAACGTAGTTTTTTCATATTATAAATAATTTTAAATTAAAACAAATTACTATTTGATAAAATATTAGATCATAAAATTAAAGTATTCATTATAATGCAGAAAAAAATGTTTTTAAAATTTTATTACTAAAAATTGTTTGAAAATAAATAACTATTCACCAATTTTTTACTAACTTTTATAATGACTTAAAACATTAATTTAAATCACCTTTAAATGGATAGCCTAATAATAACTAATGTTGTGTAACTAACTAAATACTAAATACTAAATACTGTAAATTGATATTAAATATACATTTATATGCCATTGTGTGCCATCTATAGGCAATGGCAGTGTATTTGTGTATGTATTGTAAATTATAACTTATAAATGCATTCAATAATAATAATATATGCTTTAGAGTACTGTATATTGAATTGCATTGAAAGCCAATGCAAATGAAATGCAATGCGATTTTGACTATTGATTGGCAATCGGTTTGTGTCTAAACAATCAAAATAATAATTCATTTGATATTAATATAACATTTCGACATAAACTGTGAATAAATAGATTTGAAGCCAACTATTGATGTGATGGCAAACGTATCGCTTGTTTAATACAATTGTCATTCAATTGATTATAACATTGTGTTTACATTTTGTGTTTTCAACATTTCATTCAACACTGATTTGGTGTCAAACGAGTCGTTTAATCAATTGATTACATGATTTAATTGGTCACCGATTTTGACCACCGATTGACACGTGTTTTGTGCCATTGATTGCAAACATGTTGTAAGTATTTAATCACATCTATAGTACAATACTTATCATACAATTGTCGACAAATTATTATTAAATTTACATTTATTTTTCTATCGATTTTTGTTATCATATTTGACACAAAAAATATATTTGTATTTATTTGAAATTATTATTATATTTATGATATATTAATATAACTTTAGTAAATTTAATTATAATTTTATATTTAGTTTTTTAATATCTTAGACACGATTTATATAGGATATCATATAATCATTGTTTTTGTTATTTGTCAGCAAAAATGTATGATTTTATTTTTAAAATATCACAATTGATATTTGATATGATATGATATTAACAGAAAATTCATTAAAGTAGACAACAATTATAATAATAATTTATTTTAATAGGAAATAAAAAGTCAATTTATTTATTATCGAAATTTACAATAAAAAACAAATTAGTTATCATATATGATATTATATGATATTATATATTCATATATTATGCTCTAAAAAATCGATGATTTTCTAACAAAATTAAAATTAATTAAAATGTTATTTAAAAATCTGTGACAAATATTATCATTTTCATGAATGAATGACTCGACTATTAGTTTTGAACTCAATTTTATATTAATTAACTGATATATAAAATAATAGCTAAATGTTTGCATTTTTAAATATACCGGTAATTATAATAATAGTACCATTAGTTTGTCAACTGAAGCGATGGTCAAGTGTTTGGTCTGAATAGAGATGAAAAGCGATGAAGAAGTGGTGAAGTATGCGTCGAAAGACATTTTATTTGATTGGATGCCTTTCCTTCATCTGCTGGACGGCTGTCCTCTGCTATCTGTTTGTTCACAAACCAAACACTATTAAAGTATGTCATATATTAATCTTTGATAAACTAATAAATTATTATTTGTCTTAAAGTATGTCTATAAGTATGAAGAAGTTAACAAAGAGGTTGACATCTTAGAGAACGAATTGAAACAACAGCTCAAATCTAACGAAGCATTACTTATGACACTCAAGAATATTAAAGAACAGATCATTAAAACGGGAAAAGATATAAAACATATTTTGGCTGAAAATCCATCGGCTCTTTCAATGGACAGAACTGTTGACATTAATAAAGTGAGATTTGTTTTGATTATAAACACCTTTGCTTTTACTAGAATAGCAATCAATCGTAAAAATTGGCAAACGATTTGATTACACTATTTGTCTTAAATTACATTTATATTTATTTCAAACATTAGGATCCCGTTATATGTGTGCTATTGTTTGCTTGCAATAGAATTACAATTAAGAGAAATTTGGATCAATTACTCAAATATCGACCAAATCCTCGAAATTTTCCAATAGTTGTCAGTCAGGATTGTGGTCACGAACCCACCCGTAAAGTTATTCAATCATATGGCGAACAATTGACACTTATTAGACAACCGGATCAATCGGATATACCATTGACAGGAAAAGCTAAAAAATTTAAAGGCTATTATAAAATAGCCCGACATTACGGGTGGGCACTCAACCAAACGTTTCATACTCTTAACTATGACACAGTCATCATCATTGAAGACGATTTAGATCTCTCTCCAGATTTTTTTGAATATTTTAGAGCTCTCTATCCATTACTCAAAACAGATCCCACTCTTTACTGTATCAGCGCCTGGAATGATAACGGAAAGGATGGACTCGTTTCTAATGAAGCGGGTATTTAAGTGATAGTGATTATCAATACATTATTATAGTAATTATTTTATATATTTATAGATAAGTTATTCAGATCTGATTTCTTTCCTGGACTCGGATGGATGTTAACTAAAGATATTTGGTTGGAGTTTGAGAATAAATGGCCGAAAGCGTAGGAATTTTAATAAACTAATAATTTTTGTCAGTTTTTAAATAATATGTATATAAATAGTTTTTGGGACGATTGGATTAGAGAGCCGGCACAACGTAAAGATAGAGCTTGTATTAGACCAGAAATGTCCCGCACCCGCACATTTGGTAAAATAGGAGTCAGCAAGTTAGTTTTTATATAGTATATAGTATCTAATAATATGGTATTTTAGTTTTAATTATTTATGTATTTTGTTATGTTTTCAATTTAGTGGTCTTTTTTATGAAAAACATTTGAAATTTATTAAACTCAATGAAGAGTCTGTGCCTTTTACTCAAATTAATTTAACATATTTATTAAAAGTGAGTATTTGATGATTTTATATATAGTATTATAAATAAGTGATAAATTAATGAAATGATAGGAAAATTATGACGTGGATTGGGTTAAAACGGTTTACGGCAGTCCAACGGTAACTCTCCAACAATTACTACGATCTGATATTCCAAGTGATGGTCCGATTCGGATCACTTACGGTTCAAAAGATGGATATAAGAAAGCGGCCAAAGCTCTCGGTTTGATGGATGACTTCAAAGTATAATTAATATATAAACGAATGATTATATTATCGGTAATTAATTGTAATATTTATTTTAATTCAGTCTGGAGTTCCGCGCACTGGTTATAGAGGAGTAGTCACATTCATGCGTAAAGGTAGACGTGTTTATTTGGCACCTCCACCTACTTGGAAACAATATGATATCACTTGGAGGTGATCTTTATTAGTAATGCTACCGATGAGCAGCCATTTGTTATCTAATTGTTAAAAAATGTTTTTCGGTCACAACATATTATGTGATATATATTAACAAATTTGAAATAATGACCCATCAAATGATTGGTCTGTATTATTGGAGCAATACATCTAACAATAAACTCCAGGATTTTACTACTCTTTTACAACAATCATCATCACTGAAGTGCAATCATTGGTCATATGTTTTATTCATACCTAAGCAAACTAAAGATAATATTATTTTATAAGATAAATTATAACACAATTTATTTTAAAAATTTTTTTTAATTTTTAGATTAATACAGTATTTCATATTTAGTTAATTAAAATTACAATTACATAGCCTTACATTTTAAGTAAACTTTTTATATTTAAATATCAGACGAAATTTGAGTCTAGTCTACAAACGAGTGATACATAAAATATTTGATTATTTTTAGTTTGTTGTTTAGGTATCACTTGTAAAATGCATTTTATGTTGAAATTTGTCTGCACTTTGTTATAATATTTAATTTGATTCTTTAAAGTTATTCTATATTAGTTTATTTTTTTAATTTATTTAAATTGTTTCATTTAAATAATTTTGGTTACATTTATATAATTATTAAAAAGTACATGAAGAAAGTTATGTATAAGTGATAAATAATTTTTAAAACAAAATGTCATTAAAATGAAAAGGTTTATAATGTTGAAGCAATATTTGGACAGTAATGACAACTATTGCTCAAATAGTTTTGATCGATAAAACTAATAAAGAGTGCCATTCTTTGTCATTAAATTATAAAATGTTTTATTTATTTCTTCTAACTTTTTATCAATATTCTAATATAAATACATTTACTGTATATTCATATTTTTATAACTAAAATATTACAGAATTTAACGATAATATAATTTATTACATTATTGTTTACACGTGTAAAACACCATTTGTTTGCTGAAGATTTAGATAAGTATTAATTTAAATTATATTAATAATAATAAAGGACTATAATATTCAATTATATTAACCACGATTTAAAATATGTTTAATGATATTACTATAGATTTGTTTTTAGTGACATTACTGTTGAAAAAGCAATTTTTAACATAAGGGGTGATTCACATATTACGTTCGCAATTGGGGGAGGAGGTGTCAACCAAAACGAACTCAAACAAGGGGAGGGGTATAGACCTTAAGAACGTTCGCATTTAAATATTTTATTTCTTAGGGGTGGGGGTTAGCGATTAGGTTTGCGAATGTAATTTTTAAAAATGACCGAAAAAATTAACAATTGCGAACATAGGGAAGGGAGGGGATGTAAATTTCTTAAAGTGTGAACGTAATATGTTAATCGCCCCTAAAGTGTTAGAGACCCAATAAATGACTATTAAAATAGTTTATATACTAATTCAAAAATTACTGCTAATAGACCTGAACTACCTGTGCAACTGTCTGTTCTACAGTTATATTATATATTAAATAATATAATTTATATATACTATTCACTGGAAATTTGTATACTTATTTATATAATAAAAAATTATTATTTCAAGTTTTTAATTTAATTAATTATATAAATTTCTATAAATTAAAGTTTTGATAAATCACTAATTCACACATAATAAATCTAAATTTATAGTACAATAGTTCAAAGTAATTGATTAAGTATTGATATTTGTGAATATATTTGAAACTTTGATAGTAATTAAAAAAGCAATCAATTTAATTAATTTTGCTATCAGACAATACTTTAGTTTATCATTAAAATTGCTTTGAATTGTAGTTAAAAATATAATCAGATTACTAGAGGACATGTTATTTTTAATATATATCAATATATCAGAATTTATCTAAATTAAAATAATCACTCAATCTATAGATTTGATGTTTCAATATTTAACTTAACATATAATTTACATTTTAAATGTTTATTATTTTTTAAATATTTTTTGGCAATACTTATAGGAAATGAATGCAAACTTGAAATCTTATATTCTGTATATTGACTTCAAAAGGAAAGCTCAGATCTGGTTCAACAACTTATCAAAAATATTTGACATAAATGTGATAATAGCAGTGAAATGAAAGATTCAATACAATTGTCACCGGATAGACAAGTCATACCTGAGCTGATCATATAAGCAAATGTAACTTAATGTATAATTTGTAATCATTTATTATTTTATTATAAATATAGATTATTTATTATTAAAAATACAGTATCTTATAAATCATTAGAAAATTCTCCATTATTTTGCATTTTAATCAAATTTATTCAATAAATAAAAAATTTTATAATATATTAGAATTCAGTAATTTATGTGTCAAAAGTATATAGTCAGTGATGTTTACATTGTATAGCTGTACCTACAAAGTCATAGATTTGCTATTAAATTAATACATTCAATGTATTTAATTGTATCAATTGATTGAACGTTATTGTATTTGAACTAATATATAAATATCAATTTTAAGTTAAAAATTTTAACTATGATATTATTTTTGCTAATTATTTATAATAATTACACAGAAAAATTATAATGAATGTCTACTTCATTCATAATCTATAGTTAAATTACGATAAATGCTTTATCATAGGCTACTATTAAAATTAAAAATATTAAAATAAATTTTTAATATAATAATAGAATTATATATATATTTCATAATTACTAACAATTTTCTTAAAGAAATAAGGATTTAATAAATGAATTATAATAAATAAGTTTATAAATAACTATATAATTAACAATTAAATCGTTAATATAATAAATTGTACTTTAATCAAATTGAAAAATTAATTAATTTTAATTAACTAAAATAATAATTATATATTAATTAATTACAACGAAAATTTTAAAAACAATACTTAACTTACTATACAATTTATTAAAAAAATGTTTTTATATATGATTTTAAAAATACATAAATAAATTATCAAATAGTAGATATAATTAATTACAAAATAAATAAAATTGAAAAAATAAGTTTTAAATTTAGTCAGATATAACTATTTAAATGATTGTTTGATAGATAAACTAAATAATAACTACTTATAAATAAAAAAATTAAAATTTGATTTAATCACGTGATTAGCGATAATAATGTTAAGTTTGGTGTTTGACAAGTGATGTACAGTTGGCGTACCATAACTTAACCCAACGTTTATTTAAACTAAATGTCGATAATTATATAACTTGAAAAACATTGAACAGTAGTGTATATTTAATGTATATTTAATATAACAATCGCAATTGATTGACCCAATTCATGAAATATGTAACACGAGTGTAGACATCTGGAAATCCTGTTATTCAAGTAAAAAGATCTTATTTTTGTTAACCGTTTGGTGTATTTTTGATCACATTTTTGTGGTCTAAAAGTTATCTTTTATTATAGTTATTATGATTATTATTATTTATAAGTTATATTTGCATTTTAAAGCTAGTATTTAGTTTGTATACCAAATGCTCATATTATTATTTATTATTATTCTTAATAAGAAAATTAATTAACTGAAGATTAATATTTAATTGATTTACCACTGACTGTGTTTTACCCAAAAATAATTTGTTATTTATATAAATAAAATACAGATATAATTATATATATATATAATAAATATAAAGTGATATTACCTTCTTTAGCACATCCGGAGCCAAAAGAGGTAATTCCTGCCAAATGCCACTGATTTCCTATCTTACACTGCAGTGGTCCGCCTGAATCTCCCTTACAATCAAATAAAACAAACTTATATACAAAGTTGACAATTAATCTTTTAAAATGTTATAAACTATTACATGACACGTTCCCCGTCCTCCTATTACAAAAAAATATAAAATAATTAATTTTGTTAATTAGATGAGAGACTTATTTGATTTGATTGTATGAGTGGTCGTACCCTTGCCATCACTGGTACCGGCGCACAGGTGCCAGTTCTTGATTCCGATCTTGAATTTAGGGAAATATGCCTTTTGACACTCAGAATTGTCAAATACTTGAATTCTCACTTTTTGTAATATTTCGGCTCCTTTTTTATCTATAACATTGTTTAATGTAATTGCAAATAATAATAATAATACAATAATATGGTATAAATATAGTAAAAAACACAAACTGTAATCAATTTTGCCCCAACCGGTGGCCACACACTCTTTATCAAAAAAGTCTGCCTTAATATCCGGTGGCAAACATAAGGGCTGTACATATTCTGACGGTTCAATTGGCTCTTTTAGTTTCATCAGTGCTATATCATTGTCATAACCCCTATACCAGGGATAGTGAAACACATTTGACACCTCATATGTTGACTCATGGCTTTCGGACTCTTTCTGGTGATGTTCTCCAACTTAAACGACAATTCATTTATATTAATCACATAAATATGAATATTATGATTACATTTCTAGTTTGAAAATTACTCATTACCTCTAACTTCCCAATGTATTGCTTGAGGTAATGTAAAGAGTGGACTGTAATAGCCATCAAAAAATAAATATCAATTATATAGCAATTCATACTTATATTATGTTTATTGAACATTAAAATATGTGGTTAATGTTAATTTGAACATCAAATTAGTTAATATATTAATTAAGTTGAATGACTTTTCAATTTATAGCAGTAAAACTTAATTATTATGAAACTACTGTTTTATATATAATATTTAACATATGATCTCAAGGAATGTCATATTAAATGTCTGCAATTAAAACTTGTAAAACTAGTTAACTACTAGTTTATGTCAATCAAATTGACATTTACAACATAAACCACATATTATTTTCATTTTTAGACTACAATATTTTTATTTATTATATAAATTTAGTACTGCATATAATAAAAAAGTAAATAACCAATTTTCATACTTAATAATACAATGAGCTGCTGTTATTACCCATTGATTGTCTATTAATACTCCTAAAAAAATAAAATTTAATTATATTGTCAATATTAACAAATAATGATATAGTGATTTAATAAATACTAATATTATAAATTAGTAAATATTACATATAATATTATAAAATTTATGAATAATAAAATATTTATGCAATCATTACCTCCACACCAATGTCCAACTTTACCTGCCTGTGGATGAGTAAGTCTTATGGAGACCTAAAAGCATTAAAAAATGTATAGTTTGTAGACTGTTGTATTGAGCACCTGTAGTATTGTATTATACTGTATTATACTGTACCTGCCAGGGCCATTCTCCCGGTTGAGAACTATTTCCACCCACTATTCTCTCAGTGAGAGGGCTTTCATTTTTGAATTTATTAACTCCACACTCTATATATTAAACAATATGTTAAATATATATTATATAATAAAATACATAATTTGTAAAAAAAACTAACTGACCAGTTGGTGGGTTTTCAGTAGTAACAGGAGTTGATAAAATCAGTTTACTAAACAATATTGAACTTAATATCTTATAGATGATATATATTTGCATAATATTAACTGTTTATTTAAAATCAATTTTCAACAACTCTTAAAAATCATTCATAAGTGATATCAATTGTTATAAATTAATTTAAAGTATTTAATACTTGAAATCATTTGGAAACACATAAAAAATTTTGACTTTAATTTTATAATGCAAAAGACTACTGAAATATCGCGCGAAAAACATTTAAAGCATTTTAAGTTTCATCTGTTTTCCGTCAAATTTTGTTGTCTCTCTTGTGACTACTTGTTGTGTGGACTCGTATCTCAATATTACAAACTCCACCTCAAAATATATGAGAACCTGTGGCACAACTTGACTGCCGTTACAATCCGTGACCTCAACCATCAACTCAATACTATTTAGTAATAATATATCGACTATGGATTTGCTGCTAAATTTAAGACTCCCTTCAATTAATTATCATTTTAAATGACAATTATTTTTATTTCTTTATTATTCTTATTATAATTGTTATGACTAACTATTATTTATATGATTTATAAAAAAATATTTTAATATTAGTTTTATTTACTTTTTTTATTCAACTAATTTATTATTATCTAAAAAATATTATAAAAATCAGTAAAAAATTTAATTTAAATTTGATCAATTTTTTATTTTTAAAAATTTATTTTAAACACTAATAAATTTTTATATAAATTATTAGAAAACTTAACAAGAAATCAATAAAAAAATACTAAATAAAAAAAAATATTTATATATTTACAAAAAAAACTAGTTGTGTAGTGGTTGATGTTGTTGTATACAATTATAGTTAGTACTGTATATAATATAAGTAATGGTCTAATAATATTTAATAATTACTATGATATTACTTCAAAAGTGATGTGAGATTTATATGTTTGGTGTTTCATAACTATAATTGCATTTATTATTTTTGTATGTCATATAAATAAAATTGTAATACTGTTCAAGTGTTATGTAAAACAAAATGTGTTTATGAGGTGTGAATTGTAATCCAATCAACAAACTCTGTTATACGGGTGTAAACACCCGGAAGGTTAGGTCGCGCACAACCAACACCTGAAATTAACAGTTAAATAATGAATTAAAATATTTATTAAGTGAATAAGCATTTAATTTAAGAGCATTTCAATACTGACCCCAAGACACGAGTCCAATAAGTGTTGTTTTGCCTTTTTCTTTAAGACTTAATGGACTACCGGAGTCTCCCTGACACGAGTCCCTCCCGCCCTCCTTATAGCCGGCGCACAACATATTAGGAAATATGCTTTCCCGACGACCAACACTTTTCATCCATTTCTGACATTCATCCGAATCGAGCACTTCTACGTCAACCTTCTGAAGAACTCCCGGTGACGTTGAGATACCTATCAAATGTTTACCACAATTAAAATTAATATAACTTAACAAATGTGTCAATCAATACCATATTGAGTCCGACCCCAACCCGTGGCCGTCGCCTTTTCTCCCGTATAATTTTGACCTAACATTCATAGTTAATATATACTGTATATACATATTTATCGTTTAACATAAAATTAGATGCAATCATTGAAAAAGATAAAAAACAAAAGGTATTCATTATCATCTATTTGATAACAAAAATCATAATTATCTCATTTATTATAATTAATTTATGATTAACTTTTAGTTCAATTGAATAAAACTCTATTGGGGCATTGAATTAATACTTAATTATATTATTTATTAACCCTATTATATAACTGGCAATGAATTCCTTTAAATATCCGTGTATTACATAAATTAATGAAATTTTCAAATACAGTAATTTCTAAAAATAGTGTGTTTGTAATTTATAAGTTATATTTAGATAACGCTTAAAAATGTTTGCAAAACTTATACTATAGAATAAAAGATTATCAGTTTACTGTATATTGATAAACAGTAATATATTCAGTAAAACCAAAAATTTAGTAATAAGTATTTTACTAAATATATAGTTTACTTGACTTATGAAAACAAATAAAGCAAATGACCTCAGAATGAGTGTGTCTAAGAGAGAGAGAGAGAGAGAGAGAGAGAGAGAGAGAGAGAGAGAGAGAGAGATTGTGACCTCAAAATGAAATTTAAAGGAAAACCATTTAAAACCTAAATTTATTTCATTATTGTTTACTAAGAAACTAAATGTTAATAAATGAAAATCAATTTTGTTTATAGATTTGTAAATATATTTACAATATATTAAAATAAAATGAAAAGTCATATATGAATACCTTTTTGTGGTAAACAAATGGGAATAATGTGTTCCCTAAAAGTGATTTCTTGACTTAATTCAAGCAAAGCGATGTCATTTTGATAGGTCGCCGGATTGTATGCTTCGTTGACTACTTTACGGCGAACACCATATTCTTCATGTGCTAACTGTTCTGTATGTGCTCTTAGGTTATAATCTCCGAGTCTTACTCTCAGATTGTTAGCCGGAGTTCTAGTTTTTAAATAAAAAAATGAATATTTAATAAAACACAATAAATTTTTCGTTGTTTTGTATTATAATTTGCTATTTAATACTGATAGTAATTTTAAATTAATGATAATAATAATAAAATAAAAGTAAAGGAAGTTTATTATATGAGATATAAAATATATTATATTAATGAATAAATGGATGCAATACTTGTAGACACAATGGGCTGCCGTCACAATCCAGCGCTTCTTAATCAAAGCTCCGCCGCACGAAATCTTTTGGTTAAAATATTGTTGTTTAACGATAGCCGCCTGCCATGGGTTGTGACCAAATCGGGCGTTCTCTCCGCCGACAATCTTCGGGTCTCTATTGAAGTATACTTTACCGCATTCTGGTCAGTAAATTAATACAACATTAATCAATCATCTGTAATAAAACAAGCATTTGTTTATAAATATATCAAACCGGGATCATTGATTGGTTCGGAAGTGTTGGTAGGAATTGTAATATTGTTTGGTGTATCAAATGGTATACAACAGCTCCACAATACACCACCGTTGCAGAGATCAAGTGGTCGTTTTCCTTGCATCCAACACGATATACCCAAACCACACGGGTATGTCTCGCTTTGGTATAAACATTGTTGCGGAAATGCTATAACAATCATTTCAAATACATTAATTCAATTTATCAAAACTTTTTATCAAAATTTATATACATTTTTTATCAATCAATATATCAAATGTTATTATTATGTATAAAATATAATAAAAATCTATTGAAATACATACACAATATATAGCGGGCAATACTTAATAGATTCCAAAATGTTTGTGAACTTTGTTTTATATTTTGGCTTTCATTATGACTTTGACTCTGGCGTTGAGTTTTTGATAAATAAGATGTCAATGAACTGGCAATTGATAGCGGATTTAGAGAGGACAGGGATGTCAACGATGACAGTGGGCTAATACGGCCACCAATATATGCAAATGTTGGCTCAATTTTTATTATACAAATGATGACTAGGAATACATCAATGCTTTTAAACATCCTTTAAATGAATTGACAAAATTTAAAGCTTTAATAGTAATACAAAAATTAGTTTACGATATCATCCCTCATATGGTCTATTAAAATGATTTGAAAGACTGGAAATCATAAATAATTTAATTTTCAATAAAAACAAAATTTAGACGATTTAGACGACAAAATAAATTTTACGGGAATTAAATGTTATACTTTCCATATATATGAATATATTTTTAAGTTATCTCTAAATTAATTCATTCACATATTGAAAAAAAGGTCAGATATTTTTATAAACATTAATTAAAAAATTAAATCTTAATATATGTTAAAATAAATCATTTAAAAATGCAATAAAGTATTTCAATGGCCATAGAGTGAATAATACAAAAATAATATAAAAAGTGGTCAAATATTAACTGATAAAAATAAATTATATCATAGTTACCTATTTTTGCAATGAAATAATTTTGATAAAATCCTATTTTATTTGTTTGCAATGAATTTGAATGAATCACTAATTTTTGTAATAAAGCATACATTAAAACACTATTCATTGGTCTTTTAACTTCAAATTATTATTAATAGTATTTGAAAATATAATGTAAAAATACATTAATTACACAGCAATTAAAATTGATATTTCTTTTTAAAAAACAAAACATTAATTAATTATTTTAATAACAAATCATTAGTTATTAATTATTATTAATATATTAGCGCATAAATACAAAAATACATGACTAATAAATTGTGATTTTCACAGATTTTTTACACCATTTCAATGAATGTTAAGGAGAGCTGTTATGTTGGAGTCTCACAGTTCTGGAAGTAGGTCTGAGTGAAGACTTGATGGTGTGAGTCGTCTTCACTGACAACAACTAATGCAAAAACTATGACAAATGCCGTACATTTCAAGCGACGATTGTTTTGCTGACACCATTCATAACCATTCAATGCATCCAATGATTCACTTTATTATTATTATTATATAATGACTCCTATTATCTAAAGAAAAACAACTGTTTTACATCACTTACAGACACAACATATTAGCAAAATGTTTACAATAGTTGAAGATTTTGATTACGACCGGAGTATTCAATATTATTATTAATCTATAAGTTTTGCTCTTTCTTTACATCAACTTATATATAACTAATTCAAATAAAAACATCGACTAAAAAGTTTTACTTAATTTTTATTTATTTTTTAAGAAATAAATCACAGTTTATGATAAAATAAAGTCAATGTTGGGACTCATAAAATAAATTTTAGTTGTGATTAAATGTGGAAATTGATTAAAAATAATTGATTTTTTTAGTTGATGTTAATATAATGTTGATATAAGTTAATACAAGTAGTTTTGTTCAATGAGACCCTCTCTCGATAGTAATGCCAGAGCAGTATTGTCTCGTTTATAGACCAGTTATTGACTGCTATTAGTGGCACACAAACTACTCTACCATTTGGTGACCCATTTCCTACACAAACACACTATTCTCAGTACTATTACTACTATTTTCTATGCTATTATGCTTTTACGCTAATTTCAAGATCAGGGTTATTGGTTTAAAATCCTGCTTACCGTTAATACATTAGTTTATATGTTGTTTATTATACAGTATATACTAACTAATTTATAAACTATAGTATAATGTATATAAAATACATTACTTATATTATAATATATATTATAGACATATATAGACACAATTTATCCAAACTTAACAATATTTCAATCACTTTATGTTGTGATTCACAATCTCTATGTCGCCAATCAAATGAAGCGATGAATAGTTTTCTCGATTTATAATTAACATAACATTTTGTGTTTTTATATATTATTTATATGTTTCAACACATTTTACACAATTGTTTAGTTTATGAGAAAATTAGTCTATTTTGTTGTCTATAAAATATCTATTGTTAGCTATATATAGTATTACGGTTATTATTATTATTATTAAACAAGGTTATATTTTTCATTAAAACAATTTTCTACAACAAATAAATTTAATTAAAAAGTTTATCAATAAAAAGTGGTTTTTAACATTTAGTAATAAATATAACTTGTTAATTATTGCATTATAATATAATGATTATACCATAGTTATACCCTGTTAATTATACTGTATTTTATACATTATATTTTATTTTTAAAGATTTTCATGTAAATATGTGGAAATTATAATTTTTATTTGTTATTTGTATATTTATATTAATACAATGTAATAATTATTAAAGTTATGTTATATATGCTATAAAAACAACATATTCACAATATATCATAAATGCATTTTTATATTGTGATTACCAAAAATTATACTGTAATATATTTATAGTTTGAGGTCATATTTCAGCACAGATTTTCATTATTATATACATTTAATATCATTAATGAAATGGAGAAATGTTTTTTTTGCTATTTTGTTATTCAAGAAATAAAGATATGGGTATTACTTAGTGTTTTGGATAATTTGAATTAATATTTATAATATTATAACATTAACATCAAAACAAAATTTAAACCAATAAAAACTTTTCAAAAAAGATGCCTTAGATTTAAAAATCAAAAGTATGTTAGATTTGAAAATTACTGGTAAATTGGATATCAGACTATCGTATAAAATAAATTTAAATAAATAAAGAAATGCTTAAAGATATATAATTTTTAATTTATGTTTGCCATACTTGACTTGCGGTTAAATTCCTCTATTTTACTAATTTGGTAGTAACACTACCTGGCTAATTTTAACAAATTATTATTATTTGTAGTGATTAACTATTCTACTAAATTTCAGTGAAATGTAGTGTAATAAATATAATGTATAATATACATTGAAAATGCTCAAATATTTTTTATTAGATATCATTTTTATTTTGCCTATTTTGCCTATCATTGCCTATTTAATTAAAAATTGCAATATATTTAATTAAATGCAAATTTATGCTATAATTATATATCTGATTGATGTATTATATCATTAGTAATTGAACATAATAGTAAGGTTGCATTAATATTAGACATTTTTTGTAACAATACAATTATTTTTATAAATTAGTTATATAACATTATAATATTAATATATATATATATTATATTATATTATATGTATATTATTATACATTATATATATTAATATAATATAATATTATAAATATTTCGTTGTTTTTAGAGTACATATTTAAAAATCCTAATTTTTACTTTTTGTCAAAATTTATGCAACTAATTAATGGGAAATTATACTTATGGCAAAATATACAGTTAAAATTTGAATATATATAAATACAACAATAATAATCTGTTAATAATTAATAATAAAATAAATATCAAACTTTCTAATATAACAAACAATTTAAATAAATCATTAAATTGTGGTAATTGTGAGTTTAACACCCATAGAGCACAATATGTGTTGGCATTAGTGGTCATTATCTGAGTGAGACTCATAAAAGATATGTTATCTCTCAAAACTATGTATATCTATGTCAATCAAAGTTATAGATAAAAAAATATAATATAAAAATATAAATAATAATAATAATAATAATAATAATAATAATAATAATAATAATAATAATAATAATAATAATAATAATAATAATAATAATAATAATAATAATAATAATAATAATAATAATAATAATAATAATAATAATAATAATAATAATAATAATAATAATAATAATAATAATAATAATAATAATAATAATAATAATAATAATAATAATAATAATAATAATAATAATAATAATAATAATAATAATAATAATAATAATAATAATAATAATAATAATAATAATAATAATAATAATAATAATAATAATAATAATAATAATAATAATAATAATAATAATAATAATAATAATAATAATAATAATAATAATAATAATAATAATAATAATAATAATAATAATAATAATAATAATAATAATAATAATAATAATAATAATAATAATAATAATAATAATAATAATAATAATAATAATAATAATAATAATAATAATAATAATAATAATAATAATAATAAATACAAGAAATTGAGATATTATTATTATAACAAAGTTTTTCTCAATTTATTGTTTACTTTAAATAATTTATTATCAAAGAACATAACTTTGTTTTTTTTAATTGCAGTTATAATTGACATGAGTTGTCACCAAATGTCAGATCTTTTAGTCGAAAGATATACTGTATGTTAAGATACCAACAGTAGACATAAGTGTATCACTTTTAGTGCAGAAATTAACACTATTTTTGGTTATTATTTGGATTATGAACAAGACTTACAATATTAATGATTATATAAAACATAATTTAAATATATTGCTTACATTTAAAATAATGCAATAATTAAAATTAAAAAAAGTTATTTTTAATAAAAGAGTTGATTTAAAGTAAACAATAAATTGAGAAATAGTTTGTTCTAATAATAATATCTCAATTTATTATATGAATCTCAAATTATATACATATTGTATAAAATAATATTAATGAATTAATAACTAGTATTAAACAGTGGGAATTAGTAATGTCCGTAAATATGAGACAATAAAATAATTTGATGTCTGAGTCAATCAAATACAGTACTCTATATAATGTCATTTTATATAAAAAGCAAAACTATATATAAATATACAGTATTTTCTAAATTTATATTTTAAGTCACGATTCAGACCATATAATCTCTCAAATTAAATTTTAAAATGACTAAAAAGTTATATTATAAAGTATATATATTACTATATATTAATATATAAACCGGTATAAATTATATAACATATTATTATTATTATATTTTTATTTTGTTTTAAAAATTCTATACTAATCCATAAAATTTTTTCTTTGTAAACAATATAAAGATTTTTTGTTAGAGATAATTCAAATGTTAATAGGATTTAAAACCTAAAGTTAACGCCCAAATAACAGATATTTTACAGTAATTTATATTTTACTTTAATACTGTATAATATTTCTTTAAATTTAAAAAACTACAAAAATATATAATAGATGACCACAGGATGTGTTTAAGGATCTAAATTTATAATTGTCTGAAATATTAATGGTTTTCAGTATTTCTGAATAAGTTTTATTATTATTATAAATAAATTTTGAATGTTTATAACAGTAACAATTTTTCTTATCTGAATATTAATAATAAATTACTATCATTATTATTATTAATTTATTATCAACAATGTTATTATCAACATTATTACTATTAATTTTGTCTATTTTTGTTATTAACATAAATTAAATATTAAATAATTATGAAAAATATATAATTATTTATATAAAATACAATTTATTTAACTAAATAAATAATATTAGAAAATTAAATTTCCCCTAAAAAATAGTAATACAATGAATGGCAAAAAAACAATTGCAATACAATACAGTTGATCGCAATCATAATTATATTATGGTATATATCATAATATGATAAAATTATAAACATTTTGAGTTTGTTATTAAAAACAATTTAGATTTTATAAATAACAACTAATTTTTAATATTATCGATAATCCAGTCTACAGTGTGGGAAACCCTGTGATAAATGCCCGGTTGTCTGGACTGAGCGCAACCAAATCCGGCTGATGTTATGCCGGCCAAAGTCCATCTGCCGTTTGTGTTGATCACTAGAGGACCGCCAGAATCGCCCTAAATATGATATAATTATAATTAAATGTTTTGAAAAATATTATTATTATAGAAGACTAATGATTATATACTGACAACACAGGCATCTTTACGACCGTCCTCATAGCCGGCACACATCATCTCAGGAAATATCCTTAAATCAATTCCTCGAGTTCGGTGCCATTGTTCACATTCTTCATTATCAATGATGGGAACGTCTACTTTTTGAAGGAGTCGAGTACCATATCTGTTACCTATAAATTATAGTCACAAATAATAATAACAATAAAAGTTTAAAAATTTATCACAAATGTCATCGTTTAATACTGACTCAGTGCTGGATCTGTTTTACCCCAACCGGTAACGACACCATACCTAATATCAGAGAAAAATTAATGTTTAGTTTTGGCACACTTTCATAGCTTTGACATAAATTTTTTATTATATAGAAAACATAATTTATATCATATTAGTCTTAGTGAAAGTCTAAACAAAAAAATTGTTTTTTAAATTTGTTTTCAATTCCGGGCTGTTTTTGAACACCTAACTAACACCTATAATATATAACACCATTGATTACATACCAGCCCTCATAACGAAATCCTGGTTGTGGTAAACATACAGGCAATACGTTATCGTTATACCGGACGGGTCGGTCCAGACGTAACACTGCAATGTCGTATCGATCCGGATGTGAGGCTGAGAACCGAAAGTTAGGATGAAGTTTGACGTGAGTGACCCCAAAAAACTGCGCCGGTATGTCCTGAAAACGCTGGTCCTCTATATCATGCGCTCCTATTATTACATTCAATTGCGGCAATGGAGCTCTGTGTCAATTATTTCAATAACATAGCTATAAGTTATTATTTTTCTAGTTATTATTAAATACTATTATTTTTCACTTTTATTAAATATAAAAACAATTTTTAGTAATAATTAGAAATTAGTTAATTTTTTTTAGAAAGCAATCTTAAATAATTATTAATATTTATTCATGAAAACTATATCTATTGTATTTTACTGTAGCATATAAAATGAATTAGCATTAACAAAGAATAAAAAATTGATAAACTTTTACAAAAATCGTAGCTATTTTTAAGTTTATAAATAATAAATAATTACATTTAAAAATAATTTTCAATTTTAATGTGACTAATTTTAGAAAAATAATAGTTTTAAAGTAAAATATATAAAAACTTCTAATTGTATAAAACATGTTATAAATGGGAAGTATTTGTTATTTGAAAGCTTTGTTCTAATTTTTTATTTATTGTTGTGTTTGATGTGTTACACAAACATCACTATGAAAAAACTGATTCATTTATAGATAAATTGAAAATTATTTTTTATTTAAAAGTTTTTGTTAAAAAAGTATACTAAATGTTTTAGTTCATTGAAGATTACAAAAAATAGCAAAAAAATATACAAAAATAGTAACTATTATTATATTTTATGAACACTCACTGATATATACAATGGGCTGCCGTTACTATGTATTGTTGGTTGACTAAAGCACCCCCGCACTGGTGTTTTGTTATCTTGATGTGAACCTGTTTTAATATTAATTAATTTGTAAATATTACGGTAATTTCCTATTAAAAAATAATACAAAATATATAATAACATAGATTATAATATTAAACGCAATTAATCTTAAATTGAAAAATTTATAAAAAAATTGATAAATACAAAAGAAAATTTAAATAAATAAATTTTAAAAATCTTAATTAATAAAATATAGTTTTTAGATTATTTTATATTTTATTATTTTTTTACTAACTTATTAAGATTTCTTATTTATATTCTTAATTGTTCTATACTTTATTATTTTTTTAATGAATATAATTATACATATCTAACTGTAATTCTTTAAAACTAATTATTAAATTATAGCATAATGCATTAAATACTATTTTTAATTACTAATATTTTAAATATATATATATATAATTTTAAAATATAAAGTTGATTTTTTGTTAGAACCAACAATAGTTAAATATAAAGTATAGATATACAGACCTGCCAGGGAAATTCACCTATAAATTAATAAATAATAATAAAATTACAAAATAATAATAAATATATAATAAATTTTATAAATAATACCGAAGTATGCGTCCTGTCCTCCAATTATACGATTCAATGGTTTGGCTGACGGACGACCACAAACTATAACAATCATTAATTCAAGTCTTTAATTAATACAAATTTTATCATTGAATTATAATATTTGTTTTTGAATCATAGATATAATTTTTTGTAACCTTATAGAAACTCATTAGTTTTGCAAATTAAATTAATATAAAATACAAATAAAAAACTAATTAAATTAGTGAATCGTAAAATCAATTGTTATAATTATATAAAATAAAAAATTTAATTCAAATTTAAATATAATATATAAATAAAAATATAATATAACATTAAACATAATTTTTAAATAAATTATGATTATTGACATCATTTTAAAATATGCTTGTATGCAGAATTAGATTAACTATATATTACTATACTTTAGTAAAATAAAATAAAATTGAGAATTATAATATAAAATTATATAAATAAAGTAATTTATAAATTTTTATATAATGTGATCAATAAAATAATTGATATAAAATATAAAAAAATATAGATTATATCTTTCATGTACAGTAGTTTTATATAACTTAATTATTATAAATAGAGTAAATTAAAAAATTAAATCAAAGATTTAAAAAATAGAAATACATGTTATTAAAAATAAAAGCTCAAAACCAAAGTATAATTATATATTTATAGATGTAATAATATAAATAACTGTATTGTACTTCATATTCTAAATATTATAAATATCTTAATATATAATTAATATTTATGCATCAATAACTAGTTAATGATTATCACATAATTATCTTATTGTAAATTAATTTTTAATAATCAGAAAACCCTTGAATATCACAGTAACTATTGATATATTTCTCTTAAATGACACAAACAGTTAAAAATAGACAAAACTGCTTATTATATAACAGTTAAGATTTTAAGTATTGATAAAAACTAGTTGAATGCTAAAACAATTATGTCCTCTTAAAATATATATATAATATCGATGACCATTGATTTTATGTAGAAGTATACAACAATTAAACATTAAAATTATATTTAATTTAATAGTTAATACTGAAAAATGACAACAAAATAATTCATTTTAAAAGCAGAGATTTATTGTCAATAATCACACAAAATTTAAAAATAATTTTGACGTCATATAATATATATTAATAGTACATATTTAGTCAACAATTTAAGCTAATTTTTGTTACACTATTTTAAATATTATAAATACCGTAGAAATAACAGTATTTTTTGTTTTAATTGTCTTAATGACACAAACAGTATAAATGAATAAATGTTAAACAAGTACTCACTGTCGTCGTGAAGATTTCTTGCGTAAGCTTTTCTGGAAACCTCCCGAAAGATGGGCTTAAATGGTGATTCCGGTCGAGATCTTCGGATAGCGTTTTGATCAATGTCTGTAAAATCATTAGTGGGAGGCGTTGTTCTGACCATTGAATAAGGAAAGTCATGACTTTCAAAAATGTGCGATTGAGAGGTCACATAACTTTTATGTGATGGACTATGTTGTGAATGATATGATGGCGGAGCCGGTGATGACTGTGGCGGTGATAACGTTGGGTAATGCATTTGATGAGAGTTGTAAAGCATACAACATGTAACTGAAAAGTCACCCCCACAGCCCTCCATAGGAACACCACCGGCTAAATAACATAATAAACTAAATGTACATGCTGATTGGGAACGTTCAAATGTACAGGTCCCAGGGTGTCTAATTACTGGTGGTAATGATGAACCTATAGTGGCATACAATAAGTTTTACAATTATATACATTTAATTGTATATTTAAATATATCATTTTAAAAACCAACAATTACTTACTTGAATGACCAGTTGTGCCGACAATTAAGAGTATAACAGGTGTGGCCACAAATGCCAACCATTTCACGGAACGCATCCAAACGTTCCGATACATCGATAAACATCTCATGGATTATTCATTTCTATTAAGCCAATGATTATCAAACAATTTCTCAAATAAATATATCTGTCATATTAAACAATAAAATAAACAATAATTTTTTTTTATAAAACTTAACAATTTTTATGGGAAATGTTTAATATTAAATAACATCAAATACATTTTAAAATTATTTTATGTTTACAACAAAACTCTTTATTTAAACTTAAAAAATAATTGAACACAAAGTTTGACACAAGTTTTAAACATAAAAATCTGGTACAATGTTGTTTATAACTTATAAATTATATTTCAAACTTGTGCTCAACAATACTAGGAATACATATTTAAATTATATATTTTGAGTGTGTGTTCACTGAACAAGACAGTGATATAATGCTATAAAGTAATGTTTTATCGAATGTTACACTTAAACGATCAAAAAAAAAAACAAAACAAAAAATAGTAAAAATTTAATGAACAGTTATGTTGTGCTTTGTTTAGTTGTATAGTTAGTTGTCTTTGGGATTGAGAGAGAGAGAGAGAGAGAGAGAGAGAGAGAGAGAGAGATAGCATACAAAAAATTTTCTGTTCTGATTGTTGTCTATATAAGGGTCACACAATTGGCACCGGGATTAGTACAGTAATAGTCATTGATGTATTAAATCAAGTTTAAGGATATAATTTCTACTTAAAACACTCGACTACTCTTTAATAAGCATTTTGTTGTGTTAATTAAAAGCTATAAATGAATATTGTTTATAAATTATTATTTATTTGAACACTTTATATATGATATTTACACAAATGTCTGGTGTATGACATTGCAAATCTCTAAATTTATTAATGTTTAAATGTGTTAATAAATAACAAGTTTATCGATAATATACAGTAATACAGTATATCTAATATATGTATGCTTTAGGAGAACATTTGTGACACAAATCTATTAAATATAAGCAAATTTTTAATTTACTAATTTTTGCAATTTATGGTAGATATTAGTAACATCACATTTTCGTATATTTTTGACGATATTTTGATGTTTAATTGTATTATACATATTATGTATTACATAACATTTATTCAAATTTTCATAATTAAAAAAATTAGTGTTGACTACAAGTTAAATTTTCAAATTAAAAAAAATTATTTACATGGATATAGATTTTTGAAGTAATTTCTAAATAAAAATATTGATGAGATATAATCAATAAAAATAAGAATTTTTTATTTGATAGAAATAGATATTTGAAGCGACAAATAGTTTTGATAATTAAATGAAATCCTATCCTATCTTTTAGCTATGGCCTCAATAAATCTAAAATCAATTTAATTTAAATCTATATATATTTAATACTATTTATGAATTTTCAAAATTAAAATGCAATTTTAGAAACCTAAATTCAAATTTACACTAAAATAACTAAATATATTAATTTAAAATTAGGACAACTAATAAATTGTCAATAAAAATTTTTAATTAAATTTATGTATATAATGTATATTAATTTATTTAAAAAATATATTATAAATTTTGATTATTATTTTATAAAAAATACTTTATTGCAGTTATAAAAAGTGAAACAGATCTGTATCTAATTATTCACTGAAAAAAACTAAACATATTTACTGATATTGTGTTAATTTACAATATTTTATATTACAATTAAAATTAAAACAAAATAAGTAAAAATATAATAATTACCTATAGTTATATAATAGTACAGTATATCTGTCATCTTATTTGTATTGACGCTAATTACAATTTTTCCGCATATTTATAAATTATATAATATATAGACTATATATTATAATATACAGTAGTATACCTGTACAACAGGTATTTACAGTTTACTATTAACTTATATATTAAATATCATAAAATGTTGTTTATCTTATAGTCATTTCTTTTGAAACAATAAAAGCTAATAATTTTGTAATTAGTTTAAAACAATAAAAACAAAAATGTAAGATTTATTCAAAATTAATAGTTCATCATTGTCATTTATTTAATTTTAAAGTTTATAAGTTATAAATTATAGCACAATTTTAATCTTTAAACACTTTCTTCATTTAAAAAAAAGAAAGATTTAAATGAATATTATTAAAAACAAAATATTATTAATAAAAATTACATCATAATTAAGTAAATTTAAACATCAAATTAATTTTAATTTAATTTATAGACTACAAGTTATTCAAATTTATATAATAATAATATGTTTATATAATTATTTAAATTGTCAAATTATTATCTTCAACAATGTCTTGCATAACACATAAAACACGAACCCTTATATTATTATATATAAAACATGAATATATTTTGTAGATTTGCATAAATTGTGGTTTTCGGCAATAATTTTCAAAATAATGGGTCAAAAATAATGATTTTGTTTTTTATTTCGTTATCACATTAATAATATATTATATGTTATTGAAAAGTGAATGAAATTAGTTGTAATGTTTATAACATTTACAATTGATTACAAATGAATGAGTGTGAGATCATTGGCCATAAAACTTGTTGTTTTTTTTTTTGATTAAATATTTGACTTTCAAGACAAGTTTGATGCATAAGTCATTATAGGGTAATATTAAAGTACAGGCAATAGCCAACCGGCCACTGACTCAATAATATCGGTCATTAAGTGTTGTAAATATGCGGTCAATGGATGTGTCAATGACTACATTGGTTGGTAAATGATCTTAAATTTATTTAATTAGTAAATCGTGCGACTATTAAATATTTGATTTATTAGTTTATTATAATAAATACTTCAAACAACCCAATTGGCAAACTTTCGCTGTTAAATATTACTATTTTAAGATATTATTTTAGTTTATATTACAAACCAGTTAAGAATGCTAGAAAGCATTATTAGAAAAAAAAACTTGAATATCATAAATATGTTGAAACCAAATAGTTGGTATAATTATATAGTATTAATTTATATAGTAACAAAAATAAAAAACTGGTAAAATATACATAATTTAAATAATGTTATGTAGGTTATCAAATGACTCGGTATGACAAACAAAACTCAACTATAGTCATGTAGGGTATAAAATGACTCGGTATGACAAAATAAACTCAACCATAGTCATGTAGGGTATCAAATGACTCGGTATGACAAAATAAACAACCATAGTCATGTAGGGTATCAAATGACTCGGTATGACAAAACAAACTCAACCATAGTCATGTAGGGTATCAAATTACTCTGTATGACAAAATAAACTCAACTCTAGTCATGTAGAGTATCAGATGATTAATATAATGAAATAAACAAATATAATCATGTTTGGTATTAAATGATTTAGTATAACAAAATAAACAGTTAAAATCATACTTTTGCTGCCATTTTTTGAAAAAATAATATAATTTTGATCTATTATATCTTATTTTTAATACTATATACAATTCTAAGCGCTAAAATTTACCTTAATTTTTTATACGTCACCATTTTTTTAAAAAAAATAATTTTAATTTATTATATCTTATTTTTGATGCTCTATACAATTCTAAACGTTAAAATTTTTACCTAAATTTTTTTTATTTTGGCCGCCATTTTCTCTATGTTCCTGAAGAGATATCAAAATTTTAATGCATATTTTTATGCTTGCTTTTGATGCTCTATTCAAATTTATACTTAAAATATTTTTTCTTAAAATTTTCTTTACTTTGGCCGCCATTTTCTATATGATCCCGAAGAGATATCAAAATTTTAATGCAACTTTTCAATACATTATTAGTAGTCCTCTAACCGAATCTGAAGTCAGAATTTCAAAATTCGCAAAAAAATTGCTACACACACACACACACACACACAAAAAAGGCTCGTATAGATTTCAGAAAACAAAACTTTTCAAGTTTTTTTTGAAAATACTTATTATTTACTTAATTTAAAAACATAAAGAAAGTTCAAAAAACACAAACACAATAAACAATCCCTTTTTATTATATACTGTAATTGTTTGATAGTATACTATACAGTATAGTGTACTTAAATAAATATTTTTTAGTCACTCAAACCTAATAATTATTACACAATCTTTGCTAAAATATTGCTAAAAGCAATACATGGGTTTGGTTTAAGGCTTTTAATATTTTGACAATTTTTTTTTTGATTAATTGTAATAAATAGCGTTATTTTTTAATATCTGACATAAATAAATAATCCAAATAACATTTAATAAGTAACTAATTTTTCTTATAAATTAATAGTTATAATAGTAAAAATACAATTATTTTTGGTATCAATTTATTAAGTTTATACTACATATATGTGTATAAGTGTATAAACAATAAAATCTTTAAAGATTATATAGTAAATAAATACAAATTAAATAAATTTGTTTTCATTAATTTGTTTTTTAATGAAAGAGAAATCTTTGATAAGATTATAAATGATATTAAAGTTAAATAAAATATATAAATAAATTTTTAATGTAATACTTATATTTTATAAACTCTAAGCTACCTAAATTACTGTATTAACATACTAAATATCCTACAAATAAACAAATCAAATGCTTTTAATTTTACTTATTTAAATTTTATATACAATTTATATATTTGTAGATCAAAATAAAATTTAAACATTGAATACATTTATAATCTTATATTTCCTATATTTGGGACAATCAAAGAGGTCGGACCTATGCTCCCACTCTTCATGACATTTCTAATCAAAAATCATTTTACTTTATCATAAAATATATAAATTATATTATAATATAATTGCAATAATATACAAAAAATTACTCAAATATCTCATAGATCTCTCACGAAAGCTAGGATTTAAACCGTAAAATAATTTGTTTAAAAACTCATTTTTCAAAGTAACAGATTTTATAAATAAAAAAATACTTTTAATATAATAGTAAATATAATAATTTTGAAAATATCGTATAAAACATATATATAAATTATATATGTTAACACTAACAAAGATAAAAGTAAAAGTTTCTTATAATTGACTTTAAAAATATTGAGTGCATTAACTCTTACTTTTATAAACTTTTTATTACTTTCAATGAACTCTAGATTTGAATCATATTATAAGGTATACAAATGTATAAAATGAGAAATATAAAACTTAAAAGAAAAAAATGATTTTTAAAAAGATATCTTAAAATAAATTAAAAATTATACTTTTAATTAATTCATTTGAATTGCGATTTAGTTTTTAAAAATAAAATAAAAACTTAATTTTGATAACAATTTAAAGTAATTTTATATTGTTATTGGATTATTTATTATTAAATATTAACTCAAAAAGTAGTCCAAAAATGAATGACAATTTTTAAATAAAATCTATTGAAAAAACTTAATATTTCGTTTAAAAAAAACTCATTTCCTATTATTATTTAAATTGGATTTTTTGTTTTTATAAATAAATTAATATTAATTTAGTCTAATAATATATATATATATATAATTTTACTCTAATTATTGATACATTTTTAAAAATTAGCAAAAGTTGATTAAATTTGTTTCTTTAAATAGAAATGTTTGGCAAAAGATTATATTGACTTACTTTCAGTTTTTGAAACAAATCCACTTTGAAAGCCAAATGTAATGATTTGAAAGTTTTGAAAACAAAATCAACAGTTTTTCAACTTTCACACAATTTATATAAATTAATTTTAATATTTTTTATTAGAAAAATAAATAAAATGTCAACTTTTAGTATAATTATTTATCTTAAATTTGATTAAAACCATAGATTTATTAATTATTTGAAATGTCTATCCGATTGAAATCAAATTTTTCGGCTGTTTTTGTAGAGCACTGGTGTGTTTGAGTGCTCAGTGTTTCTAATGAATTGATTGAATACAAGTCAGGACTGACTGGGAAGGCATGACTGGGAAGGCAGTGCAGTACACATATTGAATAGGTAAGCGACCCAATGCCTCGGGCCAATTGCACACACAGACAAAAAACCATTGCTTCACTTACACAGAGCACTGGTAGCACTGTTTTCGTTGATGTTTTAGATCAGGAAAATTAAACTAAAAAAGATACTCACATATGGTATACTATACGCTATTATTATTGTTTAGAAATAATCGTTTTGTACATTCAAACAATCACTTACATTGTATTGTGTTTTTATATGTTTATCTTATAAACTTTGGTTTCGCACATTAAAGAAGTCTACATATGGGGTCAATATATGGAGGATTAGTAATAATTTAAATTATTAAAAAATTATTATAAATATTAGAATTTATCAAATTCAGTTTCAATTGATATTCATTTAATATCGTATTATATCAGACAAAAATATAATCATATTTATTAAATGAAAATTATTTTATTGAATAAAATTTAATTTAAATCAAATAAACTATTTTAAATTGAATTTGTATTATATTTCTATTAATACAATAGATTTATATATAATTTCTATTCAGACTTTATTAGCATTTTTGAATACATTCTGTATTCTGTATTCTTATTTGTTAATTATTATTATATTCATTAAATCATTGCATTGCTGTCTATAAATATAATTTGAATCGAATTTTGATTATATATTTTACTAATAATTTGTATACAATTATTAAAATTAGAATATAATATATATATATATATATATATATATATATATAAATATTTTTATTAAAAACAAGAAATGTAAAAACTAAATGATGTTAGAATCAGTGATATAACATAACTATCTCTTAATAAGCTTTCTAATACTGTATAAAAATAATAAATGTGTTAATTATAAATATATTCTTGATAATAGTTTGCATTTATAACAAATTAACTTAAATTATACAGTATAACACAATTTATAATTTCACAAAATATAACATTAGAATTAAAATGGATTAATACTTGGATTGTAAAAATTTCAATTAAAATTATGGACGATCTTAAATGATGAGTTCTCTGTTATTACTCTATATTTGTTAAACAGTGAAACTCATTTATAACAATATTTCAAAATATTTTTATTTCATAATAATTTTGAAGACATTTAAAAAATAAATTATTAAATAATGTTATAATAAATAGTACATTGTAAGCAACATTTACTTTACATTTACAGTAATAATATTATATTACTTTTAATATAAAAATCACCAAGCACGATTAGATATAAAAATAAATTAGTGAAACAATTTATTAATTATAAAGTTAATTATTATAATAATAAGTGATACAAATAATAGCAAAATATAATTATTTATCAATATATTACAGCAATAATTGTTTTATATGAGACTATTGTTCTTTAATGTTGACATAATTTCTATATTCTATAATTAATTTTTAAAGAATTCTTTTTAATAATTAAAATAATATATTTATTTTTATTAAATAATTTATTTAATTTGACAAAAAAAACAAATAAATTGACATACAGTATATATGACATATGATAGAAAGATATAATATATTTATCAGTAGCAATCATCAAAAAAGATTTTATAATTATAATAATAATTATTATTATTGACTTTTACTTTTTTTAATTAATAAATTATGTCACAATTGATATAAAAGTTGTTAAAAAGTTCAGTTAATATTGACTATCAGTTTTGGCAAATTCATGTCAGGAAAGGACTTTCAAATGGATAGTCTGTGTAATAGTGCGCTAGATTTGGATGATCACCACTGATGATGACCTCAAACATTATATCAGCAATTTTGTAGAACAACTTTTCATTTTTTTATATAAAAATATTTAATTGCAATTTTAAAACAATTTTTTTTAAATTATCATAAATGTACTAATTTATCAATCAATTAAATTTTGTTTTTAAAATTTAAAAAAATTGTAAATTAATGATTTAATTTTTTATGATTTTTATAAATAAAATAAAATTAGCAATGAATAAAATTTAGATACTGTATAATATACATAATATTTCACAATTTATTATATTATATTATAAAGTATAAATAATATAAATGAAAAATTTGTAACATTTATCTTCTATATAACAGTAATAAAAAGCAAATTTATTAATCGATTAAATTATAACAACTAAAAATCAATTACAAATTTAAATAGTATAATATTTGATTTAGTTTATGAGATATAATGTACTTTAATTATAAAGTAATTTTAATTAAATTAATATCTATTATTTATAAAATATATCATATGGCTCTAATTGTTAAGTAATTAATAAATACTAAATAACATAAAAATATTTGTTAAAATAATAATGTCTTAATTTAATACAAAATGATATATATATATATATATTAAAGTAATAATTAAAATAAGTTCATATAAAGTTAAATTTATAAAATTGACAATTATGATATTTGCTTTATTTATGGCATATATACATTTTGTATAACTCAAATAAACTGAATTATCCAATATTTACAATCAAATATAAAATTAATTTATTAGAAGATTCTTCTATTTAATGATTTCTTACAAAATTGATTTAATTTATTTTATGTTAATATTATTGACAAGAATGTGGCTAATCGTGTCAACTGAAATATTTCAAAATTTGATTGTAAACCAATAGTTAAATTATTTAAGTACTGCAATTAGTTGTTCCTATTATCACTTTTTTAAAACAAAAATATTTATAAATGGAAAAAGTGATATAAAATAAAGTTTTAATAAATATATAATTAACTTTATAACTGTGTATATTGTAGATGTTAATGATGTAGATTATAAGTTGCCATAAAATAAGTCATAACAAATTATGGCAAGCTATACCTGGGTCGTTAAAAATATATTAATAAAATTAGTATTAATATATACTAAATTATTGTATTTATTGATAGTGTCTTTTCACACATTTTTTAAGTCAATATAATTATTAATATAATTAAAAAGTTTTTTGTTAATAACAAAGATTATTATTAATAACAAGTATTGACTTTCTGTGTGAAAAAGCTTTAGTTTTACGTTTAATTTTTGTAAACATTGGCTGATATCCAATCAGATGAACTGCTGACCCGATGGTAAATCCCGGGTTGATATTGTTTGGCACACGAATAACCGGCTGATACTATACCAACTAAATACCAAACGCCAAAATCATTTAACATGAGTGGTCCACCCGAATCACCCTTWTATATATATATATATATATATATATATATATATATATATATATATATATTTATATAAATTTGTCAATTAAATAATTATTTTTTAAAATATAACTTATATGTCAAATATCTACCTGACAGGCATCACGACCACCAAACTCATAGCCCGCACACATCATTTCGTCGTATATCCTAATATTGATACCTCTTTGTCGATGCCATCCCTCGCATATTTCATTTTCAATGACCGGCACCGGTACATGTTGTAACACTTTTGGTCGTAATTTTGAACCTTTAAATTATATAAAATATGTTATTAGTTTTTTTTATTACCAGTACTAGTATTACTTGTTTACTAAAATAATGAATTATATCATATTATTAAATAATTAGTTAAAAGTAGTGCTAACCTGCTTGTAGAGCCCCCCAACCGGCCACATATGCCATTCTGCCTAAAAAGCCAACATCTTTTTGTGGCAAACAAATAGGTCTGATATTATCTTTGTAAGCAACGGGTCGGTCGAGTACGAGGACAGCCACATCATAGCGATCTGCTTGTGGTGTGAATCGGAAATTTGGATGAAGTCTCACTTCTTGAACAGTAAACACTTCATGAGGTAAGCTCTCGATCTCAGAGTGAAGAATATAATCTCCAAGAGTTACTCGGATGCTGTTAGGGTTGTGTTGAGATCTATAATTATTTATACAATTTATATGTTATTAAAATAATTGAAATTAATATATATATATATAAACCTGGCCACACAATGACCCGCTGTTACTACATGTGCCGGACCAACGAGTGCTCCCCCACAACGGCTGCCACCGACCTGGACAAAGGCCTAACATATAAAACAAAGTATTATTTTAACAATAGATTAAATATTTAATTTATATCATACCTGCCACGGGAACTGTCCAAATGAGGCATCATTTCCTCCAACGATTCGGCTAATTCTGGCCGCGCTTTTGCCGCAGTCTTAAGAAACAGTTTATATAAATATATTTATATATATATTTATATATATATTTATATATATATTTATAAATTTAAACTACCGTATAAATAATTTCTATTATAAAAATAATATTAATGAGTTAATATATATATATATATTACGTGGATCATTGATGACGGGTCCCCAATACTGGGGCTGAATGTCTTGACTGCTTGGAGTGACACAACATGTATGAAGTGGACCACACGAGGCACCCAACGAACCGCCCGAAACCCAACAGAATGCGAAAAACTGACAGCGGGTGCCACCGACGCATCCCTGTTGGCGACTGCCAATGCGCACGGGGGGCAGGAGGCGAACCACATTACCCACTGCTCGCGTCAAAAAACCGGCCGATGCTTATAAACATAAGATAATGAATTTACAAACAGCTCTTATAGAACTTGCAGACATTATATATCATCAAAATATTTGATGACTTACTATCCGGTGCTGTTCTGTCGACACTATGCTCTGTGCGGTTAAAGAATAAATCATAAGTTAGAGACTCTGGAAAAGTATGGACAGGTGTTGACAATAGGTTGACCACTTGGATCACGAATAAGGCATAAAGCATCCTCTTTGCATACCCTCCCGCAAGTATGCATCGGTGGCTCTGTATTGGTGCCAACAAAATGGTCAATGCATTAGACTTTTAAAAACATATACAACACTATTGTATTTGTTTAATAGTATTGTAAAAACACTTCAATAATCCAATTACACGTTAACCTAAATTTGATATTTTTATATATATATATATATATATATATATATATATGAATAATGATTTGATGTTCACTTCAAAGATTAGCCAACAAAGTATGTAATGTTAAGAAACATAACAACATATCGCACATAATATTAGAAAAGATGACTAACTATAATATAAATCATCATTTAATCAGCTCTACAATTGAGCACAGCTTTCATAATCCATAAAGTCGTAAGACTTTAGTCATATATTCAACACAAACTAACTAAATATCATATGTTATAAAACTAAAAAAAAAATAATATATATTTCAAGTAGTTGTGGTGGTAGTGATAATAGTAATAGTATTTGTCTGTTTAACAGGACTATAGGTTTATGGTCTGATCAATGATATCCGCCTGACTGGGTTCAAGTCCAAGTACTTGCTTCCTGACTAGTCAAGGTATGACAGGACTACCATCACTGCCTGTGCCAAAACTCACTACTAATATACTCATAGCCTGTTATCGAGTATATGTCCGCACTAGTCATGACCTACAACCTAACGGCCTAGAAATCATATCAGGTATTTGTATCGTTGGTATTGGATAATAGACAGACCATTAAAGGCAGAGAAGGTTTTCCCAAATAACATAATATTTAAATAGATTTTTAATATACAGTATAAAAATAAACTTAAATTTATAAAAATAATACATAATTTAACTATTTATCTATCTATATAATTTATCTATCATTATCCACTTTTATTGTTGTATATTGCACTTATCGTAATCACTATTGGACTGTAGTTTATAATAAATTTAAGATAAATTAAAATTATAAGCATATTAAGTATATTGTTTCATATTTAACGACTAAAAATAATAAAATGTGTTTTTAGAATCAAAATATATAATATATGCTAAAATTACTAAAATATGTAAAAATATGTTATAAAATATTTTTCACTTTTTTATCTTTAAAATAATTACTATAACACTAGTTATCATGCATGTTTTTTTAAAAAAATAATGAAATTATATTTATATATAATATAATATGAAATACAATTAAAATTTTTGTTTTATTTTTTATATTTTTAAAACAAATAAAAATGAGTGTCTTAATCAATGATAAATAATTTTAATAAATGATTAAAATTAATGATTTTTTGTTTATTCATATTTTTAAACAAAAAGTATTAAATTTATATTTTAGTTAAGATATTATGTAAAATTATTTGATTTTTTAATCATTATTAAATAAGTTTTAAAAGCAATTAATTTCAAAAAAATTATACAATAAAAATTATTAAATAGTAAGTCAATAGAATTGTCTTATTAATTAGATTTTATAGATTTAAAAATATCACAAATAAGAAAAAATAATAAAAAAAAATAAATAAAAATTTGATTCAATGTTAATGAATAAGATTAGATTATCAATAGATTTTTTAAATATTAAAATATCGATTGAAACAAAACTGATTTTTGCATATATTTATATAAATTGTATAAAAAAATTTAATCTTTGACTTAGAAAACAAATGAGTCGTTTGTATTACACTTAATTTAAATAACAATTACAACATTCAATGGATTTTGTCTCACTTCATGACAATTGAGCAAACATTTTGAAAATAATTAATTAATGCTCTAAATATTTGGCACTTTTTTCACTGCTATAATACTTATCACATTGAAAATTATTTTTACCATTAATATATCTTTTATTTTATGTTTTATTTTCTAGTTTTAATATACAGCATAATTAAAAAGTCATCGAGTTTTCATAAAGTTCTCTATTGTTCACTATTATTATAAATGAATATATAATTAGATTTTAACTTTGATATAATTTACATAAGTTTGTTTTATTAATTATTAATTATTATTTATCAAATATCAAATAGATTGAAAAAATCACAAAACTATCTCTATTACAAAATTACATTAAATTAAATAGTTTTTATGTATATATTGTACTTTAAGTTACATGTTATTTAATGTTTTGGTTTTAATGCTACATTTTTTATCGTAGATTTAATCAATGTTTTTAGTTTATCGTAACAAGTATAATTTTTTTTTTAAATTTTATCAGTATATGATAATTATTTTTAATAGTCTAAATGCTTAAGTTTACTCAAATAATAATATATTATTAATATTTGTATTAAAATATTGAATCAATATTGTACAAATTTATATAATATTACTTAATCTCAAAATTTTTATTAATATTATTGCATTAAATGTATTTAGTTTATACATAAAAAGATAAGGATTAGAATTTAATGATATTAAAATTTCAGAAAAATAAAGCTAAAAAAATTCACATGAATTTCTTTAAAATATAAGAAATATTTAAATATTTAATAATTAAAAATCTAAAGTTAATTCTATTTTAGTCAATAAATAATAAGACTTAATAGAAAAATTTTACATTTAAAATGATTACCAAAAATTTATACATTTATATTATTTTTTCTCTGTAACTATTTGATAATTTTCTCTCTCTCTCTCTCTCTTTCTCTCTCTCTTTCTTTTTTTCTCTCTCTCTTTTTCTCTATATATCTATTTATGTTTTTCAGTATTTGTTTCGATATTCAAAGTAAACATAATTTAGTTAATAGTAACAAAATATTTATGACTCATATACTGTGTATAATATAATGGTTATTATTGTGTGAAAGAAAGCCATGAATTGAATTAGTTTAGCTGAGAGAGAGAATTGTCCTAATTTTGTGAACAGAACTTTCAAGTGTAGTATAGTTTGTGTATTATGTGTTTATGTAGCGGTGGATCACTTTTGACACCCAACAGCCCAAACAAATATATATACTATTATATAATACGATATATATAAGTAAAATATAAGTACCTAAAAACATGACACATGTTATGCACCGCAATACGTAAGCCTACGGCGCTTATTGTGTATATGTTAGAGCTCTCGCCATAAATGTGTTATATTAGGAAATGAGGCCATATATAGGCCAGGGCTACATAAATCATAATGGGTTCACTGTCACGGCCGACACTCGTATCTGTGACAATATACTCAACCATCAGGTTATGAGTTGCTGATCACTTGAGCATAAATTTTACTAAAAAAAACATTACAAGTGTTGTATTGCCAGTGATTGGGTGACAAAAGTGATCCACCGCTCCATTAACGAGACGCCACTGACTCCGAAAGTTTGGGCCAAAACACCGATAATGAGGCCAACATTTCTCTCTCGCCAAACACCAGCCCCCCTACTCTCCCTTCCCCTCACTTTTCTATTCATAACTATTATTTAACAAACAATTTCTCTCTATAAATAACTTTTTTTTTTAAATAACTGTGATTATTATTATTGTATTATTTGTATAATCAAATATTTAAATCTTTTTATAATTTTGTTTTATATTTTAAAGACTTTATAAGAACTTTTAGTATTATTTAATATTAATAAAAGATTATATTAATAAAAATGCTAATTTTAGTAATAGCAATTACAGTAGGTTTGTAATAATTATTAAAATATGATAGTTTGTAACTTAAATCAATTAATGAATTTTACACTTAAATGAAAATGATAAATTATTACATATTAATATATATTGTAATATATTGTTTAATAAAGTAAACTTTTAAAGTAAATCTTTATTATTCAACTAAATTTAAAATAAATAACAATATATCAATAAATTAAAATTTTTATTAAAATTATAATTAGTTATACAGTAGTTTGCTTTTATATTTGTATATAATTTATATATGTATTATACAGTTATGTAACGAATAAAAGTTTATATACTTGAATATCTACATTATTAATTAGGGTTTCACTACTTTCTATTAAAATGCTCAAAATTAATAAAAGAGGACACAAAAAGAGGTTATATTTTTGAAGCCCAACTTAAACTTTATATTTTAAGAAAACACTTTTTATCACAATCAATTGTTGTAATTTAAATGTAATATATCATTTTATATTGTTAAAATATGAGATAATTTTAATATACTTCAATATTTAAATATTTTGGGATTATAGCAACTAGTTAATTATCAATTATATAAAATCAACAACATATACTTATAATGTTATTGATACTAACCAATGTAATTATAAATAAATTAAAAAATTATATAGAAAGATTTAAATTTTTTTTAATTGATAAAACTACATTTTTGTCTTTTAATAAATTAACAAATCATTTAATAGTTTCGAGTAATTTTTACATTTATAAAAAATTTTGTCTTAACATAAATCTTTAAAAATTAAAATTTGTATTAATATAATTTAGGACTTTAATTTTTATAATATTATATTATTTGGAAAATTTGATATATTAATTATTTAAATTTAATAATATATAATTCTAAATCTAAAATTTTAAAAGTATTTATTATTAAAATTTCTTAGTATGCTAACTTGTATTTTTTTATAAAAAGGTGAAAACAATATTATATTTATAAAATAAATTGAAGCGAATATTATGGGCTAAATAAATCATATTAATTTCATAAATAATTTTTTAATTAAATAATTTATATTTAATTATCAATTGAATATTTGATTCAAATATTGTTTGAAAACACGGATTTTAAATACACATTAAAAACGAGTAGAGTTTAAGGCAAAACATCAAAATTTTTGGTTTTAGGGTCAGTTAGCTCTGTATTACTCGATTGAGACCTCAATTAGTTATGCTTTTGAGGCACATCTCATCATTGATGCCTTCTTGAAAATATACTAAAACTATTATATATTAATATAAATTTATTAAAATAAAAACTATTATTATATTATGACTTATTTGCATAGAATTGTAAACGAAATTTATTATATATTTGCATATAATTTGAGATTTTGCTTACATTAATAATAAAATAAAATAATA